GTGGCAACGCCGCAATGCTGAAAATATTTTACATCGATAGAACAGGTAAGGAAATGTGAGAGGTGAAATTTTCAGAAAAATCATGCTTTGCGTTTTCCAGAAACGTCTAACCTACCATCGACCGTGAGTCATGCTGTATATTTCACTGAATGATGAAAACTAAAACTAAGGGTGAGACTGAAAATAATATACATCCAGAAAAATTAGATTATATCTCCCACCCGTCTAAACATGGTTGCTTTGTAATATTTCTACCTCATTGGTTTTTTTAAATTTCAGGTCAGAAATGTTTTCGGTGCACAAAGAACAATAGCTATTCATGATATGAGTGTTGAAAGTGAGATTTTATTTTGTGAGTGAACAAAATTAAAGATACTTTTCACACAAATATCATACAAAGTTTTCTGTACAACCGTCCTGTTTTGATGATAAAATAAATGAATTCGATATGTCTATAAAACACATTTTGACATATCTTGTCAGTTAACTATTTTCATGTTATCGCATTTCCTGTGAAGTGGCCGTGTCAGGTGACGCCGAATCAACTGGTTACCAACAAACAGTATTGTTTACAGCTCACGCGTTTTATTTTGAATCACATTTTAAGTTTTTGCTGGTGTTTAATGTCTTGCATGATGAAGAACAACAGTGAAGAATTGTGTGTTCCTGCTAGTATTTTCGGAATATATGGAGCCTGCCGGCGTAAAGAGCTGTGTCATTTATCAATAGAAGACAATTAATTAATGGATAAAGCATTGATTGTTCAAATTCCAAATACAAAAACGAAAATATGTCGTTCTTTTTGCATTGTTAGAGAACACATTGACTATTTTAATAAATACGCTGCATTATGCCCTTCTGTTATCAATCATTAAGGTTTTTTTATGACATACTCAAATTATAAATGCAGTGCCAACCCAGTTGGTATAAACACGTTTGAGAAAATACCCTCTATCATTGCTGACTTTCTTAACCTCCTGGAAACAAAGGAATATACAGGTCACTGTTTCAGAAGGTCTTCTGCTTCTTTGCTAGCAGAATCAGGAGCAAATATAACGGAGGATGAAACGAAGGATGAAACTCTACAACAGTATCTGAGGGTTACAACCATCAATCTATTTTTTATAAATTGCTGAAAGAATAATCTCAACAGCTAGCTCCAGCGTTACAGCATCGTCCTCCCCACTCCAAGAATTAAATTTTAATGCCCATAAATTGTCAACTCAGGTAGTTCAAATATATTACAAGGCTCTTCAACAGCGCAAGGTATTATTATTAACAGTTGTTCTGATTGTACTTTCCACATTACTGTTCATAAATGATTATAATAATACAATTAATGTATATAATACATTTG